CAGCCACACCGGGGGAGAAAGGGGACGACCGGCGGGGCCGGGAGGCTGAGGGGGCGCGGGGGTGGGAGCGGGGGTAGCGGGGAAAGCGCGTGTGTGTCCTGGGGAGCCGCGGCGGCAGGGCGAGCAGGGAGCCGAGCAAGGAAACCGGGATGGGGAGGAAGGAAACGGACGGGAGAAACTGGAGTTTGCTCTGAATTGGAGTGGAGGGAAGAAAGAAAAAATAGTAATAATAATAAAAATTAAATGAATAAACCGACAGAGTCAAAAGCAACTACAGAAACAAACCAAAGCTGGGAAGGAGAGAGGAAAGGTAGGGTGCATCGGAGGGGAGGAGGTAATGGGGGAAATAATCTGAAAGTTACCAGAAACATTATTTAGCAGCAATTCCCCTCGTTCTTGTCAAAGCCCGGGACAAAACGAGCCGCTGTGTGTGCGCGCACATCTATGGGCTCACACATAGGTCTCCCGCAGCCCTGCCCGGGCAGCAGCAGCAGTGGAGCCCGAGCTCGCGAGCAGGGAGCGCGCGGCCGCGGAGGCTGCGAGCGCGAGCGCGGAGCGACCGCAGGGACACGCACACGGGGACACGCACGCACACACACAGAAAGACGGGGAATCAGTTCTTTTTTTTTTTTTTTTTTTGCTGCTATTTTTTTTCTAACAGTGGCCGCCATCAGCAGCAGTAAGAGAGCAGAGCAAATCGGACAGGCCCCTCTTAAGAGAGGATTTATATATAGGTAAGTGTTGGAGATTTAAACCTACCCTTTGCGCCATCAGTCTGCGCTCCAATAAACTCCTGGATGTGTCGTATATTTAATATCCCAGTCCAGCAAAGAAAGTGATTTAGAGTGAAGAAGATTCCTTTTTTTTTTTTTTTTTGCAACCCACTTATGGACTTCTCTTATCCTCCAATATGGGTAAATAATAATAATAATAATAACAATAACAATAACAATAATATATAAAAAACAGTCAAGAACCACGCAGAGTTTCTGTGTATTTCTTCTTTTTTTTCTCTCTCTTTCTCTCTTTCCTTTTTCTCTCTCTCTCTTTTTCCTTTTTTCTTTCTCTACGAAAAAAAAAAAAAAAAAAAATTGTCAAGCCCCCAAACTGAAGGTTACGATCGGCCCGTCAGCAACCCACATGTAACCAAACTGTCGTGTCTCATGGCTTTTTGCCACTCCAGCTGTCAATCAAAGCCAGGGAATGTCAAGGTAGTGAATGAATGATGGTTGATGATGATGAAGAAGAGAGGAGGAATCTTTTTAACCCCGGTTTTCTTCTTCCAGTAACTCCGCGCTTGGGTTTTGCCTTTTAGGATAGCGACAGGCTTAAAAAAAAAAAAAAAAAATGTACTATGAAGTGGGGGGGTGATGGGGGAAGATGCGAAGAAGCAAAAAAAAATCGAATAGTTTGCAAAGCCCAGACTTCCCCCTTTTTTGTTTGGTTTTCCTTTTTTTTTTTTTTTTTTTTTTTTTTCTTTTTCCTCCTCCCCCCCCTGGGGGGTTTG